CCCCCGTTGCACTGATCGTCGCCAACCAGGGCCGATTCCAACACCTCGGGCGAGGCCGAAACCAGCGCCGCGAGTGCTGCCAATGACACGCCGAGCAGCTGCATGGCGCTCACAAAAGAGGGAAAACGAATTGTACACGCACAACGCTGTTCGCAACTGTGGCTGCGCGGCAGTGGCACAACATGGACCAACCTGCACTCACATGACCATCGGTGGCAAGTGGGCTCTGTTACTGCTGATCAATCGGGACTCCAGGTACAGCCGTACAGCCACTGCCGTTTTGATATGTCATCGCACAGTCTCGCCGATTGGATCCGTTCCTTTGCACTTGTCATTGAGCATATTGTCCGGCCCGTGCACCAGGATCTTGGTGAATGGACGAAACGGTCGCAAAAAGTCACTTGCCACTGCACATGATAGAGCGTGGTTGAAGCAAGCAGTTATGCAGAGCCGTACGTGATGCGCCGCTACCTTAGCGGAACGTCTGTCGTGACGGTCGCCGGCCCTTCTCAGGACCGGAGATAGCTTGCGTGGAAGAGAGAGCTTTACGACAGAGATGGATGGAGAGGGCGAGTGGACTGTTTTTGAAAGCCCTCCCTTTGAACAGCGTGCACTGTTGAGGGACGCTGCCCACTACAATACCCCCACATCGTGAGCGATCTATCCACGGCCAGGGAAATCCTTTCTGCGACACTAAAGATCTGTTGGAGGGGTCTTGCTTATCCAACAGCGAGTAGTCAAAAGAAGCAACCCACTGCAAAGTGCCTTTTCCAAGTCGGCTCTTTTTCGAGACATGCGGCACTAGCAGACTATGAGTCTTCGACTACTGTCACACATACCACGCACCTCGATCCAAGTCATGTACATGCGCAATGAATCAAGGCAACAATCGAGTTTACAGCAGGCTGGTACTGCATTCACCGGTGACCAGTCTGCCAGTGGATGTGCAAAGCAGCGGGAACAGCATCAGCAACCCTGCAACTTTGACCCAACATCTCTGTATCTATCATTGATCTTCGCCGTAGCTGTCGCAGTATGAGAATGCACGCAAGATTGATCGAAAGTACCTTACAGAATTGTACCTTAGAGTAAGTACCGCTCTGACGAGGCTGAGCTAGATTCAGCTAGATTCTGTGGAGGAGCACTGGTATCGATGCGTTGGATCCATGCGGCATTACCACGAAAAGGTTCAAAGTTCAAGTCTGAGGAGCCTAGATCGGATCTCTGGACCGGGTGCTTGGATGTGAGTTGGATGTGGATCCACCCTGCGCAAGACAAATGCATTGAATGTTCGGTGTATGTTCTTCTACTTGCCCTATACTCCGCAGAAGTCTTACGCAGCCGACGAGCATGGCAAGTCGGAATCAGCGCCTGTGGCGTTAAAAGCGCTCCTGAACGAGTGCATAAAGCAAGTTCACATTGCTTCTCCGTGTCAACCCAACCCGATCACCAACATGCCTAAAATGTGTTTTGCAGCCGCCGTAAATGGTATCATGTTGCACTCACCAAGAGCTAGCAGTCACAACCCAAAGCCACGTCAGCCACGTCAAAGGCTTTGGTGCAGCAAGTATTGCAACGAGTGACTCCGTGTCTACCCGCCCCTATTCAGCGGTGCCCCAGCTCAGCCTCCTGCTACGTCCATCTATCCCACTTACACTGCAAGTTCAGCGAACCTTCGCGAATGAAAACTGAATCACAGGAAAGCTCTGAGGAAGAGGAGCCACTCTATCTAGACTTCATTATCTCTGCGCATCGATCTTGTTCCAAACGCCACTGGGCAAAGCAATAAACTTGTCTGCGACGGCGTCCATCTTGTAAAGGCGTGCTCGCAGGTCGTTGCCCTTTTTGCTGGCATCATTGATGTTGTCAATCAGCGACTGATAGTCGGCAGCCAGTTGCTGGGCATACTTGTTGTCGTACTC